GCGAGCCTGTAGCCAGACTAACGCCGCTAGGATGGACATGTGTAGCACCATCAGCAGTTGCTCGACACACTGGCGTTGGGATCACTCTTCACGGCGTGCAGATGCATGAACCACTCGATAGGCTTCTGCGGAAGTTCTGGGAGTTGGAGGATGTGCCGGCAGAAACTGAGACGGTGATCAGCGCAGATGATCAGCAGGTGGTCAGCATGACGAAGGCGACCATGTCGAGGATCGACCAGCGCTATGAAGTCGGCGTTCCATGGCGAAAGAAGCCCCCGGACCTGGCAGAGAATTACGACATGGCTCTCCGGCGCCTGGAGTCAACAGAACGGCGGCTCGCAAAGCAGCCGGAAGTGTCCACAGCTTACAGAACCACCATCAAGCAGTATGAAGCCAAGGGCTACGTGCGCCGTGTGCCAGTGGGTGAGAACAGCGTCCCCAGGTGGTTATTGGCACATTTTCCAGTTGTGAGGATGGGCAAAAGCACAACCAAGGTACGCATCGTGTTCGATGCATCTGCCAAGCAGCAAGGAACGTCGCTCAATGACGTGATTCACCAAGGGCCTAAGCTCCAACAAGATTTGAGCCAGGTGCTACTGAGGTTCCGGAAATACCCGGTGGCACTGGCTTGCGACATCAGCGAGATGTATTTACAAATCCAGCTGAGAGAGGAGGACAGGCCATTCCATCGATTTCTGTGGCGAGAGGATCCCAGTGAGAAGCCGGAAGTGTACGAATTTCAGCGAGTCGTCTTCGGCGTCAACTGTTCGCCTTTCCTCGCGCAATTGGTCACGCAAGAGCATGCCCGAACGTCGACATCGAAGTACCCGAACGCCGCTGAAACCGTCCTCGAGTCGACATACATGGACGACAGCCTGGACTCCGCACCGTCGGTGAGCGCTGGCATCGACAACTACCACCAACTGACCAGCCTCTGGGGCGAAGCAGGCATGCACGCCAGGAAATGGCTTTCGAACTCGCAGGAGATCATGGATAAGATCCCTGAAGTGGACCGGGCTGCCAACGTCGCCTTCGGAGAAGCGCTGCCCACCATCAGGACGCTGGGTGTGCAGTATGATGCGAGCACAGACAACTTTGGCTTTACCTTCTCACCACCGCCAACAGAAGTTAAGCTCACGAAGCGAGCTGTACTGAAGAAAGCAGCAACAATCTTCGATCCGCTCGGCTTCATGGCGCCAGTCACAGTCTGCGCGAAGATGCTACTGCAACGAATGTGGTCTGCCGGTCTGCAATGGGACGATCCGCTAGAGCCTACCCTGGAAGAGGAAACGAGGCAGTGGTTCAATGAGCTGCCAGAGCTTGCCAAGATTCGGATACCGAGATGTCTACACTTCGACCTGACGACCGGCATCGCAGCGACGGAGTCGAAGCTACAGTGCCATGTATTTGCTGATGCCTCTGAGCAAGCCTATGGAGCCGTCGCATACGCTCGTGTGAAGAGCAGTGGTGGCGTTCAAACTCGCCTTGTCGCAGCCAAGACAAGGGTGGCGCCTCTACATTCAGTGAGCATTCCAAGGTTGGAGCTCATGGCGGCCGTCATGGCAATTCGGTTGGCAAGCGTCGTGACTCGTGCGCTAGGCTTAGCTATGTCAGACGTGGTACTCTGGACAGATAGTCAGAATGTTCTTTACTGGATCAGAGGCAGGAGCCGAAGTTACAAGGCATTTGTGGCGAACCGAGTCAGCGAGATCCACAACCAGAGCCAACCGTCACAGTGGCACCATGTTCCCACAGACCAGAATCCAGCTGATGTGGTCTCTAGGGGTACAACGGTCCCCAATCTCGACACGACCGTCTGGTTGAATGGCCCTGCTTTCCTCCAACAAGAGCCGGAAAAATGGCCCATGGGAACAGTGCCAGCCTATCCGCAGTCCGAGGCACGGAAAGAGGAGAAGAAAGTGAGCGCCGTATCATCTGGAACCACGGTCAGCTTGCTGCAAGTGACCGCTAACGTTGACGATTCCAGCCCACTCCATGCCAACAGGTTCATCAACTGGGCACGGGGAGTACGACTGTGGGCGCGGGTGCTGCGGTTCGGTGAGAACTGCCGTCGACAAAAGGAGGATCGTCAGGGAGGGGAGCTGATGCCCGACGAATTGGCAGCCGCAGAGACGGAGATCATAAAGCTTGCGCAAGGAGAAGCGTTTCATGCGGAGATGCCAGCGCTCCGGAACAAGCAATCCATTCCAGAGCGTAGTTCCTTGAGGTCCTTGTGTCCGTACATCGATGAGGAGGGTGTCATACGCTGCCGTGGTCGACTTGAATTCGCAGACTTTCTGCCACGAGATGCCGTCAACCCGATCATCCTGCCAAGACACCATACCGTAACCAGGTTAATCGTCCAGCAATATCACGACCAAGCTCAGCATGTCGGAGGCGTCAACCAGGTGTACGCATCTCTTTGCAGCCGCTTTTGGATAGTAGCTGGGAGGGAAGCCGTCCGAGACGTCGAGAGGAAATGTCCGCGATGCAAGCTACTCAAGGCCAGACCCACACAGCAAGTGATGGCACCATTGCCGCGGAGCCGCATCACACCATCCTTCAGGGCGTTCGCTCGAGCTGGAGTTGACTTTGCTGGGCCGTTTGAGACAGTACACGGCCGCGGGCGAAAGCGGACAAAGCGCTACTTGTGTCTATTCACTTGCTTGGCCACGAGGGCAGTACATCTGGAGATCGCATACAGCATGGACACGAACTCCTTCCTCAATGCCTTCTACCGCTTTGTTGGACGACGGGGACTGCCAGAACGGGTCATCTCGGACAACGGCACCAACTTTGTCGGCGCACAAGGAGAATTGAAGGATCTTGTTGCGCAAATGGATGAAGAGCAGATCATTCGGACAGTGGCGGATCAGAGGGTGACATGGCAGTTCAACCCGGCGGCCGCCCCTCACTTCGGTGGAGTATTCGAAGTAATGATACGTGCGGCTAAGCGAGCCGTGTCAGCGATTTTGAAGTCTGCCGACATCACAGACGAAGAGCTGACCACAGCTTTCGTCGCAGCTGAGAGTCTCATCAACTCAAGACCATTGACGTACACATCCAGCTCGCCGTCAGATGAACCGCCTCTTACGCCGAACCACTTCCTATTCGGGCAGTGTGGAGGAACATTTGCACCATCATCGGTCGACACAACCGACTTCAACCCGCGGAAGCGCTGGAGGAGAGTCCAACAACTAGTCCACCACTTCTGGCAGCGATGGATACGGGAGTGGCTTCCGTTACTTACCCAGCGCAAGAAATGGCGGAAGCCTCATGATGACGTCAAGATCGGAGATGTTATGCTGTTGCTGAGTCCCAACACCCCTCGCGGTAACTGGCCTCTGGCAAGAGTGTTGGAGACATTTCCTGGACGAGACGGACATGTGCGTGTCGTGAAAGTGCAAGTTGGAAAGTCTACGCTAATCCGTCCTATCAGCAAGCTGTGCCCAATTGAGTCACCTGCTGAGTGAACATCTTAAGACGGGTCAGACCATCACATGGTTTTAGACTTTGTAATGTCAACTATTTCATGCTGTAGATTAGGCAAGCCGTTTGCTGCAGTGTTATTTTCTTTGCTTCTCCTTTCTAGCTGTCGATACTATACTAGACGTTGCTAAGCTAGGTGTTTAGTTTCGATAGTGCTCCACACATCGAGGAAGGGGAGAATGTTCAGAAGGATGCTTTGAATAGTGTCATGTTTCAATCTTTATGCATTGAGTGCCATAGGCCGTGTCTCATTGTACCCTGTGTTGTGGTCAGAAGAGACCACAGGACTCTGGCTGTCATATCGGTGGTGATTCATCCTTTTACTTCATGTAGTTCGTGTACCACTGCATTGTACTGTAGACTACCGTGCTAGTATTGCTTGCAGCTGCCTGCTAGTGCTGTTACGCATGCCTGATTACGAGCTTGCCCGGCGAGGGTATTATTCTTGTGTATGTTCAAGCATAATTCTGACTTCTGGGTGAACAGAAAGAGAACAGTCATTACTTTTAGTGTCCAAGCATTGGGCGGAAGAAGTGAGTCTCTCACAAACGGAGAGCATTGTGTACCAGAGCGGGTCTCTCACTATCGGAGAACTCGGGGTCTCAGTTCTTCATCGGAACAAGTTCCCTATTGCATGATGTGTGTTAGTGTTTGTTCGGTGTATTGAAATTTGAGGTATGAAACAGACGCATCGAAAGTACCGAAAATAAAAGTACACCGAAAATTTGTGAAATTTCAGTAACTATAATTAGACAGAGGCAATATGCTTTGGTTCTGCAAGAGTGCTCAATGCCTGATTCAGGCAGAGCGGCGTACACAAAGGCACACAATGAAAACCTTGGCAAATTAATTCCGTTGTGACTCAGAGTTTCATGGCTGAACCAATCATCAGACAACGAGTGCGCTTTTTGTGTGCGCTTAGATTTGTCATACGAATGCAGATGCCTGTGTATGCGTGTGTGCGTGTGGACATGTGTGTATATGTGTGTGTGCATATATCTATAGGGGTGTGTCACGTGTATATGCGTGTGTGCGTGTGCTTGTGCGTGTGCGAGTTAGGGTGTTGTGGGTGGGTGGGTGTCTGTGTGTGCGTGCGCCCGTGTGCAAGTTAGGGTGTTGTGGGTGGGTGTATATGTGTGTGTGTTAGTGTGTGCGTGTATGTGTGTGGGTGTTACTATGTGTGTGCGTGTTAGTATGTGTGTGGTGTGTGAGCGAGATTAAGCGCGTGCTTGTTAGTGCTAGACCTGCGCCTACTGCATCTGCCTCTGAAATAGCATGTCCCTGTATACATTCACGCGATTACTCCTCTCGGTATCGTATTATCACACCTCTCTCCACTTAGATATACCAGCGCTGCCTCCTATTCCATTATCGTTGTCTGATGATTGGTTCAGCCATGAAACTCTGAGTCACAACGGAATTAATTTGCCAATATGTCAATAGTATTTTTGCGGTGAATTTGACAAGGGCACTGAACCTCCCCCACCTGTCCATTGCTATTGTTGTTACAGCTATTTGCATCACTTCGCCAGTCCATGTGTCGCGCTGAAGTATTCCCTGTTCTACGGCATATCCTACTTGGTGTGCAGCATGCTCCCATTTGCTTCGTTAAGGTAAGCGTAATGGTGACATGTGGGATGTTTTTCCGTATTTCGAGTAGGCTCTCTATACTCGAACTTGGGTGTGATGAAAGGAGGCTTCCATTGCTCTTGACAGTGTACTCTACCTTTAGCTCAATATAACTGACCTAGTTGGAGCTGGTGCGCAATGGATGCTAATCTTAACAGGTTTTTGTTTGCATGCTCTGGCCAGACTGCGAGCCTTGTGAAGCACTCAAGAGCATGGTCAAGCTGGCCACTGAACTGTCAGCAGTTCTTGAGATATACAGAGTAGTGATGTAACGAATAATCGATTATTCGAATTTCCTCGATCTCTTGGACCTCAACGAATAATCGATAGGATAAAATCTAGGTTGAAGGTTCGAAAATTCGAATATTCGCAGGCGGGCGAAGTCCATGCGCTGCATTCCGCGCGCACGACTCTAGATCTCTTGACTTGAATGCATAGACTTTGTGCTGTGTTGCAGACAACGACTAGACTACGCGCGGTAGACCATGGTAGACTCTACTCTGACTCGAGTCTGAGCGCTTGTGTTGTGTGTTTGCTACATGTACACTTTTTGTGGCATAGTAGAATAATCGTCTGTTCGCTTGAGTGGTATTCGCTAGATTATTCGTTCGTAAAATTCATGGTTCGTTACATCACTAATAGAAAGGTTTGTCCAACTTTTTGCCTGTTCTCTTAATTTTCCGAGAATTTTTTAAAAAGAACACACCCTTAGACACCATCGCTGCATGTTCTTTACACTTGAAAACACTTCAACCAATCACTCTAACGCAGGTTTTAAACATAGGATAAACTGCCGAAATCTCGCCCATTGGGCATCTTCGGGTCATCAATAAGGAAGTGGAGGCAAACACCAATTACAAATACATATACAGCCTGCGGTATATTCTATTCTAGACGTCGGCACATCACATGCATGCAATTACTGTAATAATAAACCAGTACCGTCCTCTCAAAACACGTCTAGGATTCTCCAGAACTGGCACGTACCATTCACGTGTAAGGGGATCAAAGAGAAAACTATCACATGATATTCAAGGGCAGCATCATGTATCACACTGTCATAAATGCTTATGGTACCAGTGGAATAATAGACGAATCTACTACTTAAAAAAATTGTAACATGGAAATTGTGGGCACAAGTTATGTGACCACAATTTCCATGTTACAATTTTTTTTCCTTGGCTCACCATATCGGAGTTCTACTACTTTTAAATGATTTTTTGCGCACGCACAAAAATGTTAACACAGAAGGCGCATGTTCTGTTCCCAACAAACTCTCACACGCTCATTGGTCTCCGAAGTCCACTGTTCCTGATTTCAGTTCTTTCTGTGTCCGCATTGGCATTGGATTTCTTTCTCAACCCACCCACCCACTCCACTATTGTCATCATCCTGTTTCCTGTTCTAGTTCTCTCCTGTCGGTATCCATTATCATACCGGCCTACAATAACTACACCGATGCCGTCTACTGGCGAAACTCTGTAAATACACGGAGGGGAGTCAACCTTGCTTACCAGGCTCCTCATACGGCTCATTCAGCCTCTCACACTCAGACGGCTCCTCAGCTCACTCAGCCTCCACAGCCGGGCCCTGCCCGGCTGCCTCCATACGGCTCACTCAGCCTCCGCAGCAGGGCCCTGCCCAGCTGCCATACACACACATTCACACAGCTCTAAGCTGTCACTCACTCGGAGCCTGGGAAAGCAATTGACAAACCCTCCTGTTCCCCAAGCTGGTTGCTCGTTGTGTGAGTGCGGCATGCAGATGCTTGTGTTAAGTACTATTTTTATTCAAGCAGCACGTGCCCCTGGCCTACCCCTGTCGTGCCGTATCTTACTTTTGTGGAAAAGTGAATGTTAACTTTAGTATGGGCATTCATTGCATTGTAGTGTTTTATAATTTGGAAGACTACTTCATGTATTTGTTTTTGCTTGTTTGAGAAGATTACCTATACATTGTTATTGTTGTTATTGCAACAGGTGCTACCAAGTGTAGCTGGTGTCCTTGCACAGCTTGAAGAAGAAGGAACGCCTCAGTCCATGAAGCTTCTCACGGAGCTTTCCCACATCTTCAGAGTCTTAGTGCAGCATTTTGGCAATGTGCAAGTCTCCGATGAGGTTCTACGATGCATCAATGTAAGGACTATTGTAGCTAGGTATTATTACTCCTATTGTTTTGAACTGAATCTTCATTCTCCTTTACAAATCCCTCTCTATGGAAGTCATGTAGAAGTCTTCTCCCATGTTTTTCGAAAGCGGCAACGCCATTTACTCTCGCAATGTAGCAAAAACGGCATAGCCACGGTTTCATTCTTGGAGCCCTGGCTGGGCATAGCCATCCAAGTGACCTTGGTGACTTTTAGAAAGCAGCAGGTGCCTGGCAAAGCTGATAGGTGACAACTTCAACTCTTGAGTTTCCAAAGTTCAGATAAATTGACGATCGTGGAATAGTGAAATGTATTCGATGATGTACTCAGCACATCGCCAAGTAAGTTCAGGCCGGCATGTCACTCATAAATTTCTTGGGGGTAGCTTAAGAGCATACACAGCTGACCCGACCCAAGCCAAGTGATAGTGCAGGCCAGCCGCTGGCATAGCTAAGTCAAGGCATGTTTTTTTGTGTCGAATATTCACCACCGAATTCCTGGAAAACATCTAATATTAGGCCAAAACAAATAATGACCTTGTTTCCGGTCGCCCGACCGGGCCACTTTTTCCCAAATTCTGATACTTTTTTTTTGGTCCCAAATGTATACAAACGGTGGCAATGCCATGTGTGCGAGTGCACTCAACGAGTAATAACTCAGTCAAATCTCAACCGAATTCCACAATCGAAACACCTACAAGGTAGCAGAGATTCTCAGCTGTCTGCTCGAAACCCTCCGGGGTCGATACGAGCTAGAATAACGGAGCTGGAAGGACTCGAGCTGTTTGCTTGATTTCTCAGGATGTACGAAAACAGGAATACACCACATGCTGTACAAGAACAGTGAGTCAGTCAACTTTGACTTTGATCCTTGCCGTGATATAATTATGCAAAATGTACATGTGTAGGTGCCCTTGTCCATCAATACCACACCGATTGAGGAACCAAAAAAATTATCCAAAAAAAGTTTCATTCCGGCCGACCGAGTCTCCTTTTTGAGGGGTTGCCGACCGGAAACAAGCTTATTTTTTGTTTTGGCCTTATTAAAAGAATCAGTTCCACCTCCACCGCATGCGCTCCTGGCCGACCTCATTCACACCATTAACAGGACTCCAAGTTGGAGGTATCGGCGAATATAATGTCCTCCATACAGCTCTGTTTCGACCACTAAGGTCTCCTCAATGAAGGTTGAGAATGGGAGGTATGCATCTAAGATGGCCGTCACCTTTTTGCGGGGCAAGTTACCCCATACTTGGCAGGTACAACCCGTTATACAGTAGTACATTTAGGAGTATGACCTCACAAAGTTCATGACCTTTTATGCAGAGCTGGTATCACAGTGTGTACGGTTGTAGTGGACTTGCCCCGCAAAACCTAATGGCGGGAAATGGATGAATACGTCCCATTGAAAGTACAGTTTTATACATAGAATAAAATGAATAGGCGTGATCCCGCGCTTAGAGGTAACAGACGTGCTAAGTGCTAACACATGGAGAAAAGGTGCAAGATGACACTGCTATGCGCCATAAGTGTACTGCGGACATCATTGATACTTGCGCGCCAGATTCTAGCACTCTGAAAACAGATTCTAGCACTCTGAAAACAGATTCTAGCACTCTGAAAACAGATTCTAGCACTCTGAAATACAATCATGTAGCATACTGAAAATAAGGGTGACAGTTCACAGACTTAGCCGTTAGCGCTCCAACACAGCACTGCGAGTAGTCACGCGAGAGGCCCCTAGGGCATTGGCTCCGTGTACTCACTCACCACCATACTGAGCGGTCGTCACATATTAGAGAGGTTCCGGGGAACGATTTTCCGTGCCAAAATCCGTATGGGCGGTACGGATTTTTCGAGGCGTGCTTCATACGATTTTTAGGCACGGAGAATCCGTGTGGACTGGCTTTCATACGAACCCTGTTTCGTGTGGAGATTTTGCGTCATCGAGTGCAGAAAGATTATTCGCGTACACGTTTGGTACAAGAAACATTGATTTTCTGCGGGAAAAGCCAGTTATAAAGCCATGGGCTTCATAAATTCATTTGAAGTACTAGTATGTTTTGTAAAAATGAAGGAATAAGTATCATAATAACAAACTTACAGTCCAGCAGGAAGAGTGAACAAGTGGGTTTCGATTGAAATGTCTGCGTGGACTTTGACTTTTACGGAATGGGGTGAGTCCTTTTGCATCTAAAATAGCTAGGAAAGCAGCGGTGTTTCGAATACAAGGCATGGCTTTAAAGGCGCTGACATAAAAATACGGATTTTGGCACGAAAAATCGTACTCCGGAACCTCTCTACTGACATCGCTTGTAGTGGTAGAGCCTCGCTGGCCATAAGCGAGGGTCCCTGGTCGAGTCCTGGTGGTGACAGTCAATTTTTCTTCAGACTTTACCTGTTTCCGACTTTCCCTCACTTATGAATATCTCAAGTACATGCATTGATAATTTGGACTTATTTTACTGATTTTTGTGCAGTTATGCCTTTTCTCTTTTTCTTTGTTGTTATTGACAGTGCACATACCTTCGGTACGATACTCAAGTAAACAGAATTCTGTTCTGTCTGTGTGTTTGTATTGTTTAGAGGTACGACACATCAAGTGCGGAAACATTGACGACGCGTTTCAAGGCCAACTCCTGGAGTATACTGGGAGCTCTCAAGCGATCCCACCAGCAAGAAAATGGTGGAAAACGAAAGGCGCCTTATCTTATTGCTGGCAAGCCTGTAGATCTGGACCTGGCTAGCTTGAGTTCGTCTTCAAATACGTCACTAGCCAGCATTAGGCATCCATCCCGTGCAGTGTGTGGCAAAGCTGGCCTGCGTAATCTAGGCAACACATGCTATGTCAACTCCGTGCTACAAGCATTCTTTATGAACTCTGGGTAAGGCGGCGCTGCTTCCAACAATAAAGAGGTTTTGCAGAGCAAACGTTCGCAATGATTTTCGCGTTCCGGCTTGCGAAACTATTGGGAACATTGCGCGAAATTTGTGTTTTTCATGATTTTTGCTCCAAGAAAGTATGTGTGCACTCGCGCTTGTTAGAGAAGTGGTCTTCATCCGATTATTTGTTTGTTGCGAGTGGCGGCACCCCGAATCACTGCCTGAGACGAGAGCTCTTTGACTACGTTGTCCATGGCCGGAGACCCACAGACAAACGGGTTGGCTTGTGCCGTAATCTGGCACATCAACACCTGAAATTTTAAAAAGAAGAAGGCATCATTGATGAACTCAGATAGTGAGCCAAGGAAAAAAATTGTAACATGGAAATTGTGGGCACAAGTTATCATTGATGACACATCATTGATGTAACCGACTCTGAGCAGTGAGAAGACGAGCAGGCAGGAGATCGGAGATGGTTCCGGAGATGAAGCAACGGGCTGCCACATCTATGGGAAAGCTAGCATTCGCGGACCTTGCCAAGAGTAGAGATCAAGCACAAAAATGAGGATTGAGGGTGGCTCACCTTGCACCACCGGTCCGCGATGAGCGAAAATTACTGCGAAAGTTTGTTTCGTGTTTCCTGCAACTTTCGCGAGCAAAAAACTGCGAACCTTCGCACGAAGTTTCACTTCTCGTGATGTCAAACAAAAATTTGCGCGAACGTTCGCACTGCAAAACCTCTCTAATGTCTCTGGTGTTTCTGTCTTTGTTTTTCATACTGGTGTTTCTCTCTTTGTTGTTTAAGCTGGTACTCCTGCTGCTGCTGACTTGTTGCTGCTGCTGCTATTGCTGCAGGCTTTGTTTTGATGCTGGTGCTGCTGTCTGTGTTGTTGATGTCAATGCTGCTGTCTTTGTCCTTGTTGCTGGTGTTGCTGTCTGTACCATGACTGGTGTTGCTGCTGTCTATGTCATGGCTGCTGGTGTTGCTGTCTGTGCCATGGGTGCTGGTGTTGCTGTCTGTGTCATGGCTGCTGGTATTGCTGTCTGTGTCATGGCTGCTAGTGCTGCTGTCTGTGTCATGGCTGCTAGTGCTGCTGTCTGTGCCATGGCTGCTGGTGTTGCTGTCTTTGTCATGGCTGCTGGTGCTGCTGTCTGTGCCATGGCTGCTGGTGCTGCTGCCTGTGCCATGGCTGCTGGTGCTGCTGTCTGTGTCATGACTGCTGGTATTGCTGTCTGTGTCATGGCTGCTGGTATTGCTGTCTGTGTCATGGCTGCTGGTGTTGCTGTCTGTGCCATGGCTGCTGGTGTTGCTGTCTGTGCCATGGCTGCTGGTGCTGCTGTCTGTGTCATAGTTGCTGGTGCTGCTGTCTGTGTCATAGTTGCTGGTGCTACTGTCTGTGTCATAGTTGCTGGTGGTGATACTAGTGATTGTGGTGCTATTATAACACTATGCAGTTGCATTGTCTAACTGGCTACTTGTCACGTGTTTAGAGTTTAGACACACATACCAGTTTGTATGTGCTTTACCCATGCCTTCTTACGTGTTACATTCTCACATCTGTGAATGTTTTTGTCTTTTGTCATTCTGTTTCTCACTGTGTTCTTATCAGTCAGAGTATTCAGTTGATTACCACACTGTTGTTGATGCTGCTGCTGCTGCTGGGTCCTTCTGCTCAGCTGGTGCCCTGTGGGGGTGCTGGTGGTTCAGTTGCCCCGCCACCTTTACTGCTGCTTGTAACTAGGGTGTTACAGTGTACTGTATGTGTGTGCATGCATGGTTGAGTGTGCGTGTGTGTGTGTGTGTGTGTGCTGTTATGTGTGTGCACTACAGCATCACATGCATTGAGGTGGTCATGGTAGTGGTGGTGACAGCAGCAGCAGTGCTGGTTCTCACTTAGTCTCATTGTCGAAGAATGCATTCTATCATCATCATCATCAGCATCATCATCATGCTTATTGTTTTCTTCTGTTGCGGTGTTGGTCCAAGATTCCGCGAGTCCGTGCTCTTGTGTACTCCTTGTCCGGAGGATGGCAGCAAGTCCTTGATTGGTGCTTTGCAGCGTGTAATGGCCTACCTTCTGCTCACTAAGGTAAGCAGTTCAGGTGTTGTGTGCGGCCACTGGCTAGTCTATGTGTACATCATGTAAGTAAGCAGGATGCTCCCTTTTGTCGAAGAATTATGTATGCGTGTGCATGTGGATTCACTGGCCGAAAGTAATGTACAGTAAGTATCGTTTATAAAGTGACCGGATATAATGATATACCGGTTATAGTGATAGAGCACGTCAAAATCAAAATCAAATCTGAAAAAATACAGCTAAAATATCACTATATACACTATTATCGGCTATACCGATATATCGCTTATTGTGATGGCCTTCAGGAAGCAAACCATATCAAATGTACAGGAAAATATCGCATATAATGATCAAGAGTGATCTTTCTGCATGCTCTTGTCCGTTTCTGGCTGTGTTGCCTCTCACGATGATGTTGCCAACTCACGTACACAGCCACTCATGTCTATTTCTGGCTCTACGCAACTCGTTGGACACCGAGTAGATCTACGATCTACGTGAGCACGGATCCAGCTCAGGCTTTTTTTGGAGAACACGCTGAAGAAGCAGCCATGCCACATGATGTATCGAAGTTCTAGTACATGTACAGTCTGTACTCGTACTGCACTGCCATGCACTGCTCTGTGTCATGCACCGGTACACAGTCCGCGGAGCATGCATGCACTTTCAGCATGCTTTTTCCAGCGTGTACGCATCATTTCATGTGCAGTCATGTGCCATGTGTCGGTCAAACATGCAAATCGGCTATAGTGATGCACCGGATATAGTGATACATTTTCGAAAATCAAAGGGGCACGTTATATCCGATATTTACTGTAACTTCAAAAAGCTGTGTGGTGTAGACCAGGCTGGATGGTGGCAGTCAATTCTTCAGCCTTGCAAGCTCTTGAATGGTGCAATCGCAGTACAAGTTGCTATGCTTTCTACTATAGCATCGCTATCATTGCCTCAGGCGATGGGCGTCCGAGGTCAAAGGTCTGTGTGTACGTGTGTGCTTGTGTGTGTGTGTGTTTATGTGTTTTAGCGGCAAGCCTACTCTCCGAAGGAGTTCTTGGAGATAGCGCGACCCAGTCACTTTCTCCCTGGAACACAACAGGATTGTGCTGAGTTCTGTCGACATGTGCTAGATCTAATCAACACACAGCTCTCCAAGCAGCAACAGCAGTTGCGACAGGCAGAGACGTCTTCAACTGGATCAAGTGAGCAGGGTTGCCAGAGAGAGAATCCCTGTGTAAGTGCTCGTAGAAGTGGTGATGGATGCAGTTCAATAGTTGACACAAAGCCAGGTCAGCAGTCGAGCCGTCCAGACAACTGTGTTCAGCGCCATTTCCAGCTCAAACTGCATACAAAGTATACGTGTTGTGTGTGCACTCACCAATCATCTCAAATTGAGTCAGCTTTTGACTTGATGCTGGCTTTTCCAAGCTCCACCTCATCATCATGCGGAGCAGCCGTATCTAGCAGCACTGCAGTCAAACAGGCTGAAGAAGCAGCTACTGTTGCCCAGCAGCCAGCTAACACTGTGCTACCGGCGGCACCGAGGAGCAGCACTGTTGATGAAGTGTGCACATTGCCTACTCCACCCAACACTCCTCCTCTGATTTTAACTGATTCCAGCACTGCTTCCGAAGTCACCGTGTCTACATCTATAGACATTGGGACTGATGATGAATGCGAAGGACCAACTCATGCCCAGTGTCATCAGCATGATCAGGGCCGTAGTCATTGCCACTCTTCCTCTTCAGACATGGATTGTGAGAGTCTTGACATAGCTGCACATACCCCTACCAGCAGTACGGATGTGGACACATCTGCTGCCGCTGATGCCACCACTGTTTCTACTGCTACTAGTGCTACCACTGCTACTAGTGCAAAGGGAGAGTGCATTGTCGGTGGGAAGGTTGGGAAGGTTCAGGATGGTCATTCTACATGCCGGGAACAGTCTGAGAAGTTTGCAAGAAGCACAGGAGGAGTAGCTGCGGCAGCGGTACAAGATGATGCATGTCCAACACATTCTCCCGAGCATGTAGTAGTGGCAACTGGTATACGTGGTGGAGAGCGACCTGCTTCAATTGAATCTTCTTCTATGCCATCGCGTCCAACTACTCTAGCATCTCCAGCAACAGCAGCAGTTGATGGTGGTGCTTGTGGGGACACTATTGCTAAGCCTAAGGGTTTGATTCCTAGCCTACCTGTATCCTCGGAAAAAGCTGAGAATCTCAACGATATGTTGCAAGACTTCTTGTCTGTGGAGGCTCTAGACGGTGAGAATGCTTATGAGTGTAGTAAATGTGGACAGCGACAGCGTGGTCAACGCCAGGTCAACATTGTTCAGGCACCTGATCAGCTGCTCATTACGCTAATGAGATTTCATTTTGATCGCTCTACACAGCAGAGAAGTAAGATTCTAACGAAAGTCGACTATCCCCAAATCTTACATATCCCCTGTTCACCATCGAGTCATTCATCTTCTACACTTGCAACATGTGCAAATAGTTGTGCCGGTAGCAGTGGAGACCGTGGTGATAGTTCCGGTGACAGCATTGGCGAGGAGGAGATGAGTGATGAAGAGATTGCTTGTGCCTCACCTCCATCCCTTTCAAGATGTTGCCAGGACACACAGCAGCAACAGCAGGAGCGCAAGCAGCATGTACTTTGCTATGAGCTTAGTGCTGTTGTAGTACATGCTGGAGGTAGTACTGAGCATGGCCACTACTATACACTGGCGTGTGAAACACCTATGCCAGACTCCAATGCATTGCCAGCTGCTGATGTGTGTGCTCATGTACCATCGTCTAACCAACCTGCTGTGGATACTCCCATGGATACCAGCTGCCCATCGATGCCTAATGTGCCATCCGCACATGCACCTACTAAATCTGCTCCTGAATCGAGAGGCGCTAGCGTACAGCAGCAGCAGCAGCAGAAGCCATCAGCTAATGCTACGAATGGCTTCGCAAAACCATGGTATCGCCTGAATGACTCCAACATTCAGTTTTCCTCACTGAAGGCTGCACTGGATGTAGGCCGCAGTACTTTTGATACTGCATACATGTTAGTGTATAACCAATGCGGCTGCCGTCACAGCAACAAGACCAACAACTATGCAGGGCCAGCTGGTGTTAGCACCAGTACACCTGGTGATTCTTGTGTAGATGTGTCAGTGCCTGCTTCTGTTGCACCTTCACCATTAATCTCAGCAGCAGCAGCAGCATCATCGGCAGTAGCACCAGGAAAGCCACTACCATCACCAGCAGTAACATCAAGAGGACCATCACGGCTAACGGCACTGGCAGCAGCAGCAGTACCACCTTCATCATCACCACCGCCACCTTCATCAACACCACCAGCACCTCCACCACCAGCACCTCCAGCAGCAGCAGCAGCAGCAGCAGCAGCAGCGACCACAGCGACTGTACCTGCTGTGCAGGATCTAGCCAACTGGCTGAAAACACGGTCATCCGAAGAGCAGAAGCAACGCTCGCTAGTTCCAGCACGTCTAGCAAAGGAGGTGGAGAATGACAATCTTCTATTTGAAAAGGTATGTGTTAACATTTACTCTCCAAGTCCGGGGGGGGGGGGGGGTCAATTACAATCCTACCTCCTTGTCTGAACCCCGGGCTACTAGTATCCGAATGCCTGGAGTATCTGTGCGCATAGGTCACTACATTCTCTGCATCATACTGGGCACGTTCTTGACAACAGGACGTTTGATCTCTGTTTCTGATTTGCTGACCTACTGTAAAGCGTGAAATTTTCGCGGCGTTTTTAGTTCGCGTTTTCAGAATCCGGACAGGTTTGTGAGGTTTTAATTTTGCGATTGCAGAATGGCATTCTTGCTAAACCTGTGGCATTCTTGCTAAACCTTTCATGGATCTTCTTTTCGCGCTGTCTAAATTTCGCGATTTCCACGCGGTCGCGAATTTTGCAGAAATTAGACCATGGCAATAATTTCACGGTTTACAGTATTATAGTTTTCCCACTTGTCGATACCATGGATACACATTGAAGTAGAGACATTAGAGAGGTTCCGCACTACGTAAAGTTGAGCAACTTTACGTTAGTGGGCGGGAAAAACCCGTGAATTCGCGAGTTTGCACTCCACTTACGGAAAGTTGTCTACGGAGAGTACGTAGATAGGGCTCTGATAACGTAGCTGGTCCGTAAGTGGATTGGGTACAAATTTATGACTCTCTCCCCAGGTCGATTTGGTCGGACACTGCTGCATTCGGAGTTGCCAAGGGCAGCTACGTGATTTGAAAACTCCGTATGGCGGAACCCAGATGCGCATGCAGTTTACGTAAGACTTTCCGTAGATCGACTACGTTTTTTACTAACGTAATTACGTTATGCGGAACCTCTCTAATATTTGGGCATTACTGCGTGGACAGTCCATTCAGAAAGAGATGGTAATATTGCTTTTGGCCATACATGGGTCAGGCTTTGAGTTTTTTTTAAGGATTTTGGTGGCGATTCCATGGAATGCTCTTCCTATTATGTTCCTGAAGTCCATTTCTCCAAAAGCGAGCCATAACAAGAATAGGATTTCGGTCAGGGTTTGCCACAAAAGCACTGAATTGAGAAACCATGTAAATCCATTTGACTCAACTCGCAACAGCCCATTGTGTGGTTCGAACCCCAGTTGAGGTGCCTTTTTTTCGCGGCATGGCACCGTGTACGCTAAAATCACCAACCATGGGAGCTCACCATAGCCAGAGATCTTTTTTGTTTTGTTTAATGGACTGTAGGATGGTTTGAAAGTGGTGGTTCTGATGATCAGAGCCCTCCTAAATAGCTCGCCCAAACATGTTGGGATTAAGCGCTGTATGCGTGTCGTCTTTTTCTTGTATCTTCTGTTGTGTACTTGCTTGTGCAATCAGGAGAAATCATCCACAGTTGTGTATGGACCTGCTCCAGCACCACCTGGATACAAACCACCGCCACCACCACCGCCTCTGGGAGGTGGATGTGGAGGTGGATTTTCTGGACCAACAAGTCGTTTGGTGATGTAGCTCTCTCTGTAAGGCGGTTTGTTGCCTGCGTTTGTGTCAGTTGAAACCTTGATGCATGCACGATATCGTGTGTAAATACATTGTACATTTGCTGTACACACATTCTACATACCTTTACTTAGATAGGCTTGCATTGAATAGAGAAGGAATACTGTTGCTGTATCTAGAACTGAACTTGTTCATACCTTGCATGTTCACACAAAATGGGTTTCCTGTCACATTGCTCTTACAGAATTAGGCTGGTGCATGATCGGGCTGGACTGGCGCAAACAAACTAACCGTGTTAACTTAGCTCATGTGGTATCTTGTCACCACTTTGGCAGTTCTTCACTGTGTGTGTGTATAGGATGTGTGTCCGTTTATAGTTCTTCACTGTGTGTGTGTATAGGATGTGTGTCCGTTTGTAGTTCTTCACTGTGTGTGTATAGGATGTGTGTCCGTTTGTATGTTCAGCTCCCAAGTAGCCTACTAGTATATCGTGTTCTTCCTGTGCTTTTTTTACAATATCATACCGTTTGCACTGTTTTATCCGTGAGTAAATCAGTCAGTCAGAATTTATCACCACACTCATTTTATGATTTTATGCTTGTGTTGTACGTATAAATTCGTATCTTTCTAACACCCTTTCCCTCTCGTACAAGTAGTTCTATTATTTCTATATACATGTAAAACTGATGTGTTTCTAAACAGGTGTTTCGGAGAAAGCAGTTTCAATAGTGCCATAAATAAGACAATTGATGATAATACCATGAAGCAACAATGAAATGTAATATTATGTATTAAAAAAAGATTGTTATTAACGCAATGAATAGAGCTAGCTGCGCACAAACACCGAAAAAGACTACATGTACTACTAAAACAAGATTAATATACGTTTTTTCCTCAATGGTCATCAGTGAATTTACATTGAATAGTGATTATGGGAGAACAATCCAATATTATCTGTGCTCAATAACTATTCAATGGAAAATTGTAAATTCACTATTGACCATTGAGGAAAAACGTTTTATGAATCTTTTTTAAAAATACATGTTAACATTCCATTGTTGTTTCATGGTTTTCGTCGGCATTAATTGTCTTATTTATAGCGCTATTGAAGTGTTTCTCTCTTGCTTTTCTTGCTGCCGTAATATTCCTGCATTTCAATGTGCCGCCCACAGTTCCATCTCCATGCGTGATATTAAACTTTGTTGTGCTGTCTATATTTTTGCTGTCTACTTCGAAGCACTTCAAACGAAGTACTATTGTAGTGGAGCAGATAGTAATTGCACATGTAGTAATCCAGCCCAAACCCCTACCACCATGTACACTGTACACTGAAGCTAGACAGTGAAGCTAGACAGTGAAGCGAGTTGCCTGCCAAGCAAAGGAACTCTAAAAACACACACACACAGTGAAGCAACAGCATTCCAAGGAAAGGAAAAAAGCTTTATTTGTCACTTCTTCAGAGCCAGTCCTGACAGTTCATTCTGAACCCTCTATTCAGTGAACCAAGGGAGAGAAAAGTGAAAAAATGGAAACAAATCGTCCATTCCAAACCCCGACCACCAATGAAAATGGAAACATCCCAAACCCCGGCCACCACCCCTACACGAGTGATTGCTATTATAGCCTCTTCTGTGATTGGTCACTAATCCTTAACCAATCAGAGCCTTCCGTACTCTCCGTGATTTGTCACTTTTTCAGAGCCAGTCCTGACACTTCATTCTCTCGATTCAGTGAACCAAGGGAGGGAAAAGTGGAAAAAAAATAAATGGAAACAAATCGTCCATCCCAAACCCCGACCACCACCCCTACACGAGTGATTCCTTTTATAGCCTGTATTGACTCTTCTGTGATTGGTAACTCATTCTTAGCCAATCAGAGCCTTCTGCACTCTCCGTGATTCGTCGCTGGCTGTCCGTGATTCCAATCAGAGCAATCATGTGCAATCAAAGCAAGTCCAAGAAAATGGAACCAACCTCCCCCAAACAACAATTATTATAGCGCGAAAGGTGAGTGACCGTGATGGGCGTGCAAAAAGACAGCAACGCGGGGAATAGATTACAGCCTGGAGAATTCACAGCAGGTCAGCCGGTGTCATGAACCATTGTGCCAGCTGTGAGACAGTGTGAGGGTGCAATGATAGCAACGTGCTAACAATAAAACATCGTAGAAGATCGTACAATATAGAGCAAAACAAAATAGATCCACTTCAAGCATGTCATGAAGTGACCTCCAAAATGGCTAGTGAACGAACAAATTCACACATTAAAAAAATAATAAAAGCGGAATGCTGCATCTGACCTTGGACGCGCTGCCATATCCTGGCTATGCGGATCCCATGGGGGGTTGAGCAGGTTCGGAACAGTAGGGGCGATGGCGGGATAGGTCCTGTGGTCTACTGAAACGCCGACCACAATTGCAAACGATGCAGAAGGAGCTACGGTCTGTATTGGTTGCTTTGGCCGAGCCACGGCTGCACTTGTGATGCTTCATGCCTTAGCGCGATAGCACACAGCGGGACACGCACACACACACACACACACACACACACACACACACACACACACACACACACACACACACACACACACATATTCATATTCATGAACATGTCACCTTGCATCTTGATGCTGTTTTGTGTCGGTGAGTTGTAAAATTCACTCATTAGGGACCTTTCGCACCGCGCGTACAGATACGAAACCAATGCTGATTCGTCCCCTGGGTTCGAGGATTCGTCAGAGTCCCTTATGAGGGCTCGTTTTCACGAATGGAAGCCTCTTCATTCGTGGCGCGCTCCGCATCTGTCAGGTACACATGTTTTGCCAGGTACACATTTTTCCTTGATCCCATGATCCATGCACGTGTATGTGAAACAAGCGTACGCCAAGCTACCAGCCGTATTCGTAGTTGCCATGGAAATTAGCATGACGACTTACGAAACCTGAATCTGTTTTCAACGAAACTTTTGTTTCGCATTCAATTCGCAGATTAACCCCTATTAGGCCACGCCGTTTTTTTTCTATGTTTCGCGTCACCAAGAGTACATAACCCCCCAGAGTGTGCAACGCCGATCCAGCTCTGTGTAGGGTCTTGGTCGAGCGGAATCGGATCTTCTGATGTCATGCGTACACTTCACACCAGCGCAAGGCCGGTCTCGAGGCAGGGCACCATTGTTTTTGATCCAAGAGTACCCGCGACTCCCCGGGTTCCCCTCAGATGTGTACGGTATTATGACGCAAAGATCCGATTCCGCTCGACCAAGACCCTATGCAGAGCTGGATCAGGCGTTGCACACTCTGGGGGGTTATGTACTCTTGGCGTCACCTTATTCGATGAAATCAATGAGGGAGGGCGAAAAAAATTAAAAAAAGCCATCCAACAAAAAAAAGTGTACGTGCATTGCATTTGTGTACAGTGAAGCGACGCGGCACTGTTCATGTACAGACATGTACAATGTACGTGTACATGAATACATGAGTGTATCCCCTCTGCCATGCTTGTGGTCCAAACAGAGGCAGCATGATGATTGTGTGACTTGCGGTCCAGCTTATTGCACACACATGTACAATGTACCAGGTACATGCGTGTGAGCTGAGTTACATTTTCCGGTTTTCTGGGTTTGCATTAAATTTGTATTGCATTTTCAAAAAAAAAAAAAATTGTTCCTTTTTTTTTTTTTGAACTCCGGCTGTGAAATACATGCGCGCGGGGGACGCGAAACAGAGATAAAAAACGGTGTGGCCTTACGGGCAAATGAGCACCCAGAAGGCCACGGGTTGTGAGACTTTCACCTTCTTCCGGGCCTCCACAAGAGCAAGAGGGGCTTTTCAGGGAATTTTTCCGCACAAATCACGGACAGCCGTTTTCTGATTCACGATATCCATGTACCGTCTATACGGTATATGTGTGGATACTATGGAGGCTCACCCACGTTCCGCCAAAACGCGGGTGAAAATCAGAATGCAGCGGGTTGTGCAAGCTGTGAGGGTGCTCAACTGAAGAGACGAGCATAACTCACTTGGCCTTCGCTTCAAAGCTTCGTCTTCTCTTTTGCTTTTGTTTGTTGTTGCATGAAAACTTTGCTTTTTCGAAGTCTTTCTTCTTCTTGATTCTGTGCGAGGGCTCACAGGGAAAGGGAAAGGTCATCGTACTTGGATTCAGATAAAGTAGACGTGCTGAAAATCAAAAACCTTATGTTGTTTGATTGCTCGTCTTGAAAAAGCCCTCCGAGGCACAACACATTTGGACCCACTATCGATACGAGCACAAACTTTGACGTGCTTTCCTTCTTCCCGAAACCGTATCAAAGGTTATGTTGGTGTCCCGAAATAACACAAGTTTCACAAGTTTTGAATCCGTGTGACTAAACTCAACATTGCAAACGTAGGTCAATTGCATAAACTCTACGTCTTTCACCCATGTTCCCGTATCCCTGGTTACTTGTAGCTAAACATCCTTAAGGTAGCTACAGTGGTCCCTCTATAATCCGGCACCATTTGTGCCACGGAAATCTGCTGGATTAGGGAGGGTGCTGGATTAACAAATCTGATCTACTGCTGCAATGTGCATGAAGAGGACATTTGGCTACTGAAAATTGTGCTGGTTTATCGAGGGTGCTGGATTATAAAGTGCCGGATTAGAGAGGGACGACTGTACTAGCTAGGGCCTATATCGCGAAAAATATCGGAGGTCAAAAACCACTTTCTGTCCGATTTAAAAAAACGTTTTTGTTCAAATTTATGAGTTGAAGCATCATGAGGGCAAGCCGTTTGTCCCAAATTTTTGCTGGTGTGCAATGAATCCTTCTCTATATTTGGGGCCTGTGAAAACCACACCCATACGTTTGCATTTATGTCACGAATAAGAGGAAAACCTACTTTTACAAACAGGAGTTCACTTTTCATTTGTTTCTATGAGGCAGGATTGTACTAAACTATGTTATAAGTGCATTTCAATTCTCTTTCTGGAATTCAGGCCCACTATAATCACACACTGTTGAGGCAAATCCACTGGAATCAATTACGAGAGACGATCATTTCTTCGCATATTTCTGTAAACAGTGGGTAAATGAGTCCAATGACCTAACATCATTTTGACTTAACTTTATGATACTGACGTAGTGCGATGCAACTAGCAAGAAAAACTAAATCATTATGGGGCCAATTTTGCAAAATTTAAATTTCAAAGCATATTGGCACCTTTTCGAATCGGGGTTCCGAATACCAGCTTCGTCTCCTCACGCAGAAGCCTGTATTTTCAACCAGTGTATTTTGCTGATTAATCTTCCTTGATGTGTTCTGATACTATGGGAATTACTGACATGATTACATGAAGCAACAGCTGAAGGTTGGAAGCACTTTATTGTCACGAATACAAACCTGTCTCTTTCTTAGAGAACGCCTTGTTTACTGACATGATTACATGAAGCAACAGCTGAAGGTTGGAAGCACTTTATTGTCACGAATACAAACCTGTCTCTTTCTTAGAGAACGCCTTGTTTGGGCTACTTTGAGGGGCCATAACCCCTCCAAAGTGCCCAAATACATACCCTAATAATATATTCGGCCTCATTTCCTCTGTGCTGCGCTGATGAGTCCACAAAGGACGAAACAGTTCTGTCTGCAGATTGAGTATTTCGCTCCTGCTCTTGCAGCAGTTGAGCACTCTTGTGGGGTAGTGCCTTTGCTGTTTGCGTCATTCAGAGCTCACTGACTTGTCAGTTTGAGTACTCTGGTAAGGTACGTTCGGGCCTGGTTTAAATCTGGCTTTGGAAAATTTATTTTTCATTGCTATCCGGTTCGGCCTCATTTCCTCTGTGCTGCGCTGATGAGTCCACAAAGGACGAAACAGTTCTGTCCGCAGATTGAGTACCCTAATCATAATAAATGTAAAAGAGAAAAGGACATATGGATACGAGTTAAGAGTAACTCTCCATCACTGTAACATGATACTATATACAGTCAGAAAGTGCAATAACTAGGCACAAAACTGACAGAGTACTGAGACATTCGACGTCCTGACACCTAACTTCAACACATCTCCGTAGCGCTAACCGACAGCCTTCCAACTTGGAAGGTTTTATCTTTGATATTTATGACCCACCCAAGTTGGGTGGTGTGCTGCTTTGCTGCTTCGAATTGTAGTTAGACCGCTTTGTCAAATATCGTACTGGTCTCGTCATCGTCCAGTAACAATCGACATTCTTTGCTCCGTTGGGACTGTAGCTTTTGCTCGTTTTCGTTGCGCTTGCCTTCCCCTCTTTGGTCTTTCCATAACCTTGAACCTTCCAAGTTGGAAGGCTGTCGGTTAGCGCTACGGAGATGTGTTGAAGTTAGGTGTCAGGACGTCGAATGTCTCAGTACTCTGTCAGTTTTGTGCCTAGTTATTGCACTTTCTGACTGTGATTATAGTATCATGTTACAGTGATGGAGAGTTACTCTTAACTCGTATCCATATGTCCTTTTCTCTTTTACTAATCATAATAATTATTATATTGATTTTCTCTTTTTGGACACTCATAGCATTGCAATATAGGTGTCAAACTGTATATTTATATTTCAAATTTACAGAAAAAGTATTTCGACATGAGCTACCTTAATGTCACAGTGTACTTGCGGACAGTTCTGGATGTCTTCGCTGTTTTAAAAGTTTTGACCAACTTCCAGTAACCACAGAAGAAAGCAAAGTTCACCATCATGTATACATCATGTATACATCATGTATATTTCAAATAGCAGGTGGCAAGTATTGCAGCAGATCCAACCACCATATGGAATAAGTGCACCAACCAACTAAACTAGCTGCGTCAACACATGTGCACACACAGACACACATACGCATACATAGATGCACACACACACACACACACACACACACACACACACACACACACACACACGCGTCAACACATGTGCACACACAGACACACATACGCATACATAGATGCACGCACACACACACACAAATACACATGCGAACATACCATCATCTTAATACATCATCGCCTGCTTGAACCAGACCATCATATTCATGAAGATGTCAGCTTCTGTCTTGACGTTGCTCAGCGGATGACAATCACTGGGATACGTTTGAAGTCTGTGGACACACATGCGCGCACATGCACGCACACACACACACACACACACACACACACACACACACACACACACACACACACACACACACACACACACACACACACACACACACACACACACATACCTCAGACCTGCCCATCGCAGAAGCGATGATATAAAGCGAACAGCTATAGCTGTCCGCGCTATGTTAGACATAGCGACTTGTGCTGGGATTACACCATTCAACAGCTTGCAAGGCTGATGAATTGACCGCCACTAATTTTAGCCTGGTATCCACCACACAGCTGATTGAGGTGGCTTTTTTCTGGCCAGTGAATCCCAATTTTTTTCATTTTTTTAACACACATGCCACACCACATACTCCGGCATGCACTGGCTGTTGGTAACCACCCAGGAGAATGAAAGAAGAGCTAGGAGAAGGAGAAAGAGAAGAAAGACGTGTGCGACCATAATCGTCGGGAATTGAACCCGCAACCTATCAATTGGAAATCGACTGCACATACCACTGCACCATATGGGACACACGAACATACACATGCACACACACACACACACACACACACACACACACACACCTCAGACATGCCCATCGCGGAAGCGATGATAGCGAACAGCTATGTTAGACATAGCAACTTGTGCTGGGATTACACCATTCAACAGCTTGCAAGGCTGATGAATTGACCGCCACTAATTTTAGCCTGGTATCCACCACACAGCGGATTGAAGTGGCTTTTTCTGGCCAGTGAATCCCTATTTTTCATTTTTTCATTTTTTTACACACACACACACACACACACCTCAGACCTGCCCATCGCGGAAGCGATGATAGCAAACAGCTACAGTGTACTTCAGTATGTTATACATAGCAACTTTTGCTGGGATTACATCATTCAACAGCTTACATACACGCACACATGTATACACACACACATGTAGAAACCCGTACACGAACATTCACACGTCCACACACAGTAAGCATAGCTAGCTAAACACAGACACTGAGACAGGTAATCAATTCAGCAACTACACAGGGTCCAGGAGCATGCGACGTGCAATCAAGCTATTCAGAGTTGGAAAAGAAATTTCATTTGGACGTGTAGCTACATGTACAGTACTTGGAAGTACAACTTAAGCAACCACCCCACCACCCCACCACCCCACGTTGCAAGCAAAAACCACGGTCGTTAAGATCGTGTACAGTACGTACATGTACATGAACATGATTGTCCTTCCATGTACTTCCAAGTACTTCCATGTACTTCCATGTACTTCCAAGTACTTCCATGTACTTCCATGTACTTCCAAGTACTTCCATGTACTTCCATGTACTTGCATGTACTTGCATGTACTTCCATGTACTTCCATGTACTTCCAAGTACTTCCAAGTACTTCCATGTACTTCCATGTACTTGCATGTACTTGCATGTACTTCCAAGTACTTCCAAGTACTTCCATGTACTTCCATGTACTTCCAAGTACTTCCAAGTACTTCCATGTACTTCCATGTACTTGCATGTACTTCCATGTACTTCCAAGTACTTCCATGTACTTCCATGTACTTCCATGTACTTCCAAGTACTTCCAAGTACTTCCATGTACTTCCATGTACTTCCAAGTACTTCCATGTACTTCCATGTACTTCCATGTACTTCCAAGTACTTCCATGTACTTCCAAGTACTTCCATGTACTTCCATGTACTTCCATGTACTTCCAAGTACTTCCATGTACTTCCAAGTACTTCCATGTACTTCCATGTACTTCCAAGTACTTCCATGTACTTCCAAGTACTTCCATGTACTTCCAAGTACTTCCATGTACTTCCATGTACTTCCATGTACTTCCAAGTACTTGCATGTACTTCCATGTACTTGCATGTACTTGCATGTACTTGCATGTACTTGCATGTACTTCCAAGTACTCATATTGACAGGTACTAGTTGTGCAGCATAGAACACGCTTGTGCAGGCAAAGCACCCATGTGTGTTGTCACACCTCACTGAAGTGCACGCAGCAGCAGAGTACCCTGCACTTTAAATTGTCACTTCTAGTTCTGTTGACTGTATGCTCTTGATTCTGAGTGCACTTCAACCCTGTTGCAGTCAAGCCTGCCAGCCAGGATAGCACTATTGGCTAGTTTTGGCCACTGTATGCAGGTCAGATATGGCACTTCGCACACTAAAAGTCGGTCGCTGGTCACGCAAGGCAAGTGGTCGCTGGTCACGCAAGGCAAGTGGTCGCTGAACCCGGTACAGTTTCTGTCAAGTAGAACTGTCCATGCATGTAAAAACGGTCGTTAAAAGCAGGTGGTCGCTTTTACCAGTTGTTACTGTACACTGTACAGTAACAACTGGTAAAAGCGACTACCCCACGGTGCGAGCAAAGCAGCCATCACAACCAGGTGCTCTTTAGAAGTAGAGGATATAAACCAAGTCCGAGGGTTTTACCCGCTGAATATAAATCCCGACTGCGATAGTAAATTAAATGTTCACTAGTTGTAGTCTTCGGGGTGCTGAGTTGAATGGTCTTGGTCCGAGGAAGCTGAGACGCTCCCTTCCTCCTTTGTTCCCATTCGATTTCACGCACTGAAGCTGGTGATTGCGCCCTACTAGATGGGGATTTGTATGCAAATGTCACTAAAAGCGCCGTTTCGTTCTTATAAAAGCACGGATGACCGCGATTGGTCCATATGTTGTAGTCTTTTGGACACTGAGGCGACTGGTTTTGGTCCGAAAAGGCTGCGATGCAGCGTTCGGCCCTTATTCCCAACCGAACATGGGTGAGTAAGCGGCCACGTGCTCATGCATACACCAGTCGTCTAGTAACCGGGCCTGCAGGCTACAACTTTCACACTAAGATTCGACTCAAGTGACAGGAACGCTGTAAAAGTTGTAGCCTGCACTGCGCTGAAGGCACGGTGACCAGGTGACTGGTTTACGCATGACGTGACCGCTTACTCACCCGTGTTCGATTGGGAATAAGGGCCGAACGCTGCATCGCAGCCTTTTCGGACCAAAACCAGTCGACGCAGCGTCCAAAAGACTACAATATAGTGGACCAATTGCGGTCATCCATGCTTTTATAAGAACGAAACGGCGCCTTTAGCGACTTTTTGCATACAAATCCCCATCTAGTAGGGCGCAGTCGCCCAGTTTCAGTGGAAGTGAGCGAGTGCGATTGGGAATAA